GCAGAGTGTTAAATTCCCATGTATTCGGTTACTCCCAAGAGCACCATTGATAAAATGCACAGCCAATTGAAATGGAACTTGAGACCTTTATGCACAGCCAGATCCCGTGCTGTGGATTTAGTTCAAGTCTGGAGATGCAGTGGGGACTGGCTGTCAGGTCAGCAGGCTTCTCCCCCAGGTCTTCTATTTACCAGCAGGCCCACGGCCTTAGCCAGGAGGGAGCTGAACCACTTCAGTCCTTCCCAGAACCACATCCTCAGAAGCTGACAACTTTCACGATACTTTGAGATCCTGCCAGTGGTGAGTGGGTCATTTCTGGGAACGCGGCTTTGGGGATAGCTCTCAGGATCCCTAAGTGGCACCCACTTCGTGTCCACAGGAGGTGTGGGTTTTATTGGCTGTGATGCCAAGGAGGTTCTTACCTGCAGGGACCAGCCTGGGTGGCAGCCAACCAAGCTCCTTGGAATGTTTTCTAGTCCCGGAGAAGAAGGCGGCTGTTGAGTCTCTACAGTTCTGACCACTTATACTGAGGTGCCTCTTTGTCTGATGTGATTCCTGTGCCCGTGACAGAGACCACACACTTTCATAGATGTCACATACTATCAGGTATGGCCCAGATGGTCAACTCAGTGTCCAAGATTTTACAAACTTGGCTCTTCAAGGAGGCTGCATGGTGTGTTGGTAATGAAATTCGGCTCTAGAGGCAGACTTTGTGCATTTGAATTCTGGCTCTGCCACTCCTGAGCAGCACACCCTTAGGAAAGTTATTCAGCTTCTCTGCGCCTCATCTGGAAAAGGAGGATGACAGTAGTACCTGCCTAGAAGGCAGCTGTAAAGATAAAATGTTTAGCATACAGTAAGCGCTTGGTCAGTATTCCTTGTTGTAATTATTGGGTGGTACATGGGTGCGATGGCCTAATGGCGAGTCTGTCAAGTTTGGGAAGGGATTTCAGTCATCCTACTAAATAGCCATGTGTGAGTGCTGAGAGAGTTGTCTTCCAGAGTCTGTTCTTTATATTTTATCTCCTTTCTGTCCTTTATATTTTCAATACCTGTTCTTTTCATCTGAACCTCCTTTGCTTATCCACCAGTCCCCTGCCCAGGAGCAAAGGATGTGCAGTTAAAATCGGGCAACCACAGTTATCAGCCCAGCTCAGCCACTTGCTGCCATGTGAGCATAAACAGGTTACTGAACCTCCTAGAGCAGAAGTGGAGAATTTGGGATGATACAAAGCTGCTGACTGTCTCATAAAGGTGGAGTGATCATGCATTCTATTCACCTGGCATAATGAAAGAAATTGGAAATATTTGGTGATTCTCCACTGGAAAGAAAGACTGACCTATGAGTGAAAAAGAATCCAAGCAACTTTTACTGGTTTTCTCTCCACCCTCCCTTAGAGGATAGTGGGAAAAGCACCTGCTTAGGATGTGTGTGTTGGGTACCCAGCCCAGAGCAAGAACTAAAAAGATTGAATTTCTCTACTGCTGGATTCCAGTGCGTTGGGCAACCCGAGGGCTCTGTTCCTGTGATACTTGCAGCGCCCTACTTTACGGGAGTTAGGTAGTGAGTGTGCACTCTGACAAGTGCTGTCAGTTGTCCTGGCTTGACAACTCATTCCCTGGTGACCTCTCTTTCTCACCTTTCCATCTTACAGAATATGGAGCTTGGACTAAAAGAGCTTTAGGTTTCTTACAGCCTTACCATGATACAAAGATGTGGAATTAGACCCACTCTGTCTTTCCCATCACCCAGTTCATTTTCTTCACAATACTTGATGCTTTCTGTTCAGTTTTTATTTGTTTTGTTTTATTTTTTTACCCACCCCCTGCTGCCTGTCCCTACTTTTGGGCCCCTAGAAAGTAAGCTGCATGAGAAGGGGACCTTGTTTGGACTATTTTAGTTGCTTAATAAATATACGCATGCACATATAGACATGTAAGACTGCATTATAATGTAGTTAAATACATTTGTCTACAGAGATTTAGGGAGTGGGTTGATTATTCTTCTCTATTCCCCACCTGAAAATATAACATATTCTTATTTGGAGATTTAAAGAATTGAATTAAGAATGGTTGTACTGTCTGTCTTAAAACTGAACCAAAGTAGCAGACCCAGAGTTCTCACCTGTGTGTACATGTATTATCAAAGGACAGTTTTAACTCCTAAAATCAGAGCAAGCCCACAAGCTTAGGGCTGAGGACAGTTGACCATAATGGCACCGTGCCAAGTATCTGCACGTAGGTTGGAATCCACTTTGTTCCATCTATATACATGGTAGAAATGGTCGGCAGGAGGCAAAATATAACCCTTAGAATTCTGCTCACACATATTACTGAGATTTCATATTACTCTTATTATTTGGCCACAAAAATGGGCGTAATCCTTGTTGGCTTTAACATACCTACTAGTATTGCTTTCGCTATCCATCTTGCAAAATATAAGACAAGGCCAGAGCTTAAATTAAAATCCTCAGCTTCTTATCTCCTTCCCACAGGAAAGCAAATCTGTGTTGAAAACCGTAAAATTAAGAAGAGAGCAAGGATAGCATAATTTAGCAAAAATTCATGGCACCAGATTCTGAGCTATATGACTGGAGGGACAGGTCAGACATTAAGAAGATGCTGCCTGCTAATGCAGGTTCCTTAAGGTGGTGCTCTGGAAACAGGAAAGGCATGCAAAAAGATACATACATCTTTCCAGAAGATTTCTGCAGTGCTTACTACGACCACCCTAAAAAAATATCTTTGTGAATTGTTTGGCAATTATTACCTCCCTTAAGACTTTCAGATGAGTCAAAGTGGTTATTCTGAACTGCAGTTGAAATGTATTCATTTTAGCATTTGGGTGTTGAGAATTTTTTTCTTCATTTGCAAAAGGGTTTATAATAATATCCTCATATCCCCACTCCCACCCTTCACCTACCTCCTCTAGCATTCTAAATTCCTTGTATTTAAGAGGCTCATTCTGTATATTTGGCAAACTACATCATTAACACTTGAAAAGCATTAAAAGGTCTTTTTAAACCTTTTTAAACATTTATATTCATAGATGTTTGTGTGCTGAGGTGTGTAGAGAAAAACTGTGTGGCTTTGATAATGGTGCTCTATTTAATAAATGCCAGTGGCTATATAAGCTATGCAGGTTTTGCCATTAGACAGAAGCTGATAATTATAGAGAAAATCTAGTATGGAAATTATACCACTGTCCAAAAACATGCGATTTTTTTCCCCTTTACCTCCCCCCACCCAAGTTTCTTTTGGACTGAGGTTGTAATGATAGGGTGTAAAGAGAATTAAGTATTGCTAGGATGATTGTTCCTAATTTTCCTGAGGGTACTTCTTTTCCACTGGAACCACATACTTTTTACATCCAATTTAAAACAAACAAACAAACAAACAAAAAACCACCAAATTCAAAATGAGTGTGCACCTTCAGTGCAGCCACCATACGCAGGTGTGCTTGGGTCTTTTAACCTTCTGGTATACACCTATGTCATGGGCAATTCACGTTGTGTGCATTTCATGTTCTTCCTCAGTTTCTTTTTTTTTTAAACATGAATATTCGCTTTTGAAGAAACTGATTTCACATATGTCTTAAGTCTATAGTACAGTAAAATCTCTGTAATTCAAACTAATCATGGTGAAGGCATGCCTGAACTAGTGAAATCATTATATTCGATTCCTCTTAAATCCGCATTACTCATTACAGCAGTGTTTCTAAGTGGAGACTGTTCCTGAGACAGCTTTAATTAGTAGATGGGTTTAAAGTCAGGGCCATTGTGCACGTGTTTATAACTGCTGCTTCCTTTCTTTGGGGGGGAGGGTGGAGTTTCTCTTCTTTATTGTTTTTGAAGTTGATACATAAATTTGTATGTATTTATCCTGTAGAACATGATGTTTTGACTATTACATTGTGGAATGGAAATATAGCTAATGTGTAAATTAGCTCACCAAGTTATTTTTATGGTGAGAACACTTAACATCCACTCTCAGCATTTTTCAAGAGTGTACTATATTGTCATTAACTAGAGTTTCACTGAAATGATCCCCTAGTTAGGTTATAGGTGCTTAAGTCTTGTTTACATTATTGATTTACTTAGTTCTTTCTTGGAGGATGGAGGGCTTCAACTTTGTCTGCAGACAGAACAGTCATAGATTCAAAATTGATGGAGTCCTAAGAGATAATCTGAACCTTGAACATGTGTTATTGCTGTATAGTTTTGGGATTCCAAATTAAATTTTAAAATTTGTAAAGCACAAGATCTATAAAGTATGTTAAAATATAAAATGTCACCAACTTAAAAATGTATTTTCAAATTATATATTATTTAAATAAGGAGGAGTTTATCATTACTTTTGAAAACTAGAGAAACAGAAGATAAACTGAGTAGAGGCTGAAGCGTGATGCACAGTGATGTCTGACAGAGCTGTAAGATGTGAAAAAATGGTGTCACGTGGTTCTTAAAGATACACAACTACAGAATTATGAATTTATAAACTATAAATCTATATCTGTTCAGTTATTTAAAAATTTTCCCTTAGGATTGGCAACATTTATTCATTTATATGTTCATGAGAATTTTTTATTGCATGCTTTTTTCCTGTCAGACATATGTAATCAATAAAGAGCTTATAAAACATTTATAACTTTTGTTCCATTAACTCTTTATTGACCTTAACCTGGGGATATAATCCAAAAGGGAGGATAAATATGTATATACAGGGTTTCATGTGATAGGGAATCATAATGATCCACCTCAGTCTCTAAGGACCCCTCTAAGCGGGTAACAGCATGGTCTCATGGTGGGATAGTTATGTATTCCAGGAGTGTTTAACATGGAAAACTGCAAAGAATCAAAGAGGTGACTTCAGTCAAGGTCTGCAGATGATTCTTGGGTTATACTGATGACTGGTTACTGTAATTGTGTGACATTTCCTTTGGGAGAGGAGATACGAGTTGGACATCCATATTAACGGTTGACCTTGTGGTTATTTTACAGTCAAATAAAGTGCCCGTGGTGCAGCCGTCCCATGCGGTCCACCCGCTCACCCCCCTCATCACTTACAGCGACGAGCACTTTTCTCCAGGATCACACCCGTCACACATCCCATCAGATGTCAGCTCCAAACAAGGTGAGAGCCCAGGCCTGCCCAGCCTCTTTGCTAATTGAAGAGTCAAAATTGCCTGAGTCTCAGTGGCCCTTTGCTCCAGGTCACTGGGTGGACCAAAGTACATTTGTAGAGAATAAGAATAATTTATTGGTCAGCAAGAATTTGTTGTTGCTTCTTTAATTTTTCAGTGTTAAGAAACAAGAAACACTTACTTAGTAGGGTGATTTTTCCAGGTGACAGCTGTGAAAATCTGAGAGTCACAATATAAACCAGTATGTCACACAAACAGGCTAAATGCTCAGTCATTATTTCAGCATGTCCCCCACCACCTTATCTTAGGGGTTATGTTCTAATTCTCCTCTGGGTGCCTTATACAGTGGATCACACTGAGCTGCAGAGTTAATGCCTTTTACATCACAGCTGAGCACTTATCACAAACTATGGCTGAAACTTTTGCAATTTGAGGCAGGATAACAAAATTAGTGCAGATTTCTTTTTTCTTCAGAATATCTTGGACAGAAGGTTAGTTCTTACTTAGATCACAGTAACCTCATGGTATGATTATTTTGTTTTCCCTTAAGTACAGAACTTTCACCTTTTCACTTGAAAGGGTTACTTTGTGGCTTTGTCCGAATTGTCAGCGTAACTTTTCTTTCCTTAAAAACTTATTTTTTTACTTAAATATGTAAAATAAGGATTATTTGAACACAGACACTGCAGTACCGTGATGGTAGAGCATGATGGTAGATAGCTTCTAAGTGAGTAATTGGGTTAGTACAGCATGGTTATGGGACACAGGGACGATTTATATCCCAGGCAGGGACAGTGGGAGAGTACAAAATTTCATCCTGGTGCACAGAACAGTGCTTAATTTAAAACCCATAACATTGTTTATTTCTGGAATTTCCTACTTAATATTTTTAGACTTTGGTTGACCATGAGTAACTGAAACCATAGAAGAGGAAACTGTGGCTGGGGGGTTGGGGGGATTACTATACAAGGTGTTGATGGTGATTTTTATTAAAAAGTAGAAAAGGGGAAAATTGGAAGATTTTCACTTCAAATATTTTTCTGAGCCTCTTGTGAATTCATTATTCAGCTATATTCCTATTATGTTTTATCCTTTCTGTGTACCAGCACTAGCTTATAATCATAAATAAATCATCTATGGAAAGTCAAAGCAGCTGCATTCTGTTTGGCTCCCATACCAAACTCTGCTTCTGCTGCAGTTTCAGAAAAACAGACACGTTATAAGAGGTCTAAAAAATCAAAATGTCCAATTTTTACCCAGTGTGTACAGGTATGGTTGCGAGTGGGACTGAGCTGTGTTCTCCAGACCTTCTGGTCCCATTGTCTCAGGGCCAGCCTCGGGATGGCTTCGCTCTCAGGATAGCCTGTACCTCTTTCTGAGAGCACACGCACAGTTGGACTTCAGCAGGGTATTTGAAGGTTCAAAATAAGCCCTTTAAAACCACTTGAAAACAGAATATGAAGGGGTAAAATTTTTCTCCACCTGCATTTCACCTGTGTGTCTGCCCAGGCTCTGCCCTGTTGTGGGCAACAACATTCAAAATGTGTAAAAAAGTATTCAGAAGCCAGTTGTCCTTTTTACCACTATTACTGTATCTAGATGAAACTCTTCACTTTCAGTTTCTTTGTCCTTAGACCACAACACTTAGTTGAAGACTTGTTACTGTTGCACTTGAACTCCAGTAAAGAGCCCAGCTACCAAAATCACCTGTATGGATATTTCTAGGTCTGCCTGTTCCAATTTTCCTTCCCAGTCCTTTCTCCACCCTGCTTCCTTTTATTAACAGCTTCCAAGAATACAAACCTTCAAAAAGACAGGCCTGTGGGTCTATAGTGAGGAGGAGAATTAAGGGACTTTAGAAGGAAGGCTGACTTTGAGAGGGAAGATCAGTAATATGATCTTGGTCATGGTGAGTTGAAGTGTCTTTGAGATGTCTTTGGGGAGACTTGACACAGGCAGGCAAATTTAAACATGTGGGTCACAACCTCAGGCCAGGGACTGAGTTGGAACATATATCTAGGAAGCATAAATATGTGGAGGACAGACCTAGATACAAAAGCCTCAACTAAGAACTAGCAAAAAGAATCTCACAGTGTGTTTTATTTCACTGTATTTATTTATTTAACAATTAAATAGTGCTTACTATGTCCTAGGTCCTGTTCAAAGCACTTTGAAACATTAACTTATTTAAGAGAATAACACGTCATGGTTTATTAGTTTTTCTCTCGAGAATTCTAAGACAGTTCACTTTTTTAAAAAAGACAGGTTTATGACTGGCTACTAATTACATTTATATTTTTCTCTTCTGTTTTCATCTCAACTGCCCTCCTATCTTGTTCTGCCTAATTGTAATTTATATCATTGCTTCTTAAACTTTTTTTTCCCTTAACAAACTGCAGACCTACAGAGAATGGACCAGAAGTTCTCTGCGTAGTTTCTTTAGTCTTTGTTGTTTGAAAAATGTTGTGATTTTATTTTTCTTCCTTACACTCTTCGGTTTTATTTTAATATGAAGATCCTGTTTTTAATTACATGTCTGTCCTGGGCTTCATGTACCTCATCATCATGTACCTCTGGGGATGTAAACTCTGGTTTGGGAAGCACTCATTTACATGATATTGAGTTTATATAATCCCATTTGGGTATTTTTATTGCCAAAAAAATAAGCTCAGTAGGCCTCTTGGTTTCTTTCTTTCCTGCTGCCTCCCTTTTGGGTCTATTGTGTAGTTCAGCTGGTTAGAACATGATGGTACTGAGGCCCAGAGTTGCTGATCTCTTTGTTCAGAGTAGGCAAATCAACTTTTATCTAAGGGGGACTGGGGAACCCTAAAGAGTAGCATGTCCTTATTCTTACCCTAGGCAGAGTTATTCAGTAAATATAAATGGTTTGTCTTTGATACCCATTCTCATTTGTAAAAAAATAAAATAAGTTCAGTTTCATTTCCTATTGGAGACCACATTAGTTTCTGCCCTTTTCTCCTCCTCTCCCTCCCTCCCTTTGTGTATATGTAGGAAAGGGAAAGAAAGTTCATACCACTTATTTGTCTAACTCGTAGTCAAGTATAGTTGAAATGTTAAAAGGAAAGAGCTTTTTACAAAATACTGCTTATGTCTTTGTGTTATCCATTTTATCCTTATATATAACAATAGTCACATAGCATTTATACTTGTGCTGGGCACTGTGCTACAGGACCTGTGTTAATGCATTTATCCTTTACAACAACCTCTCTACTATTATCATTTGAGTATTCAAAAACAAATAACTTCCTCAACACATGTAGCCAGTGACTGACATATCTACACAGTCTGACTCCAGAATTATTTTATTTACATTTATATAGAAGTTACTTATAAAAGTTTAAAAATCTTTAAGGCTCTGCTGAGTGTATCCTTCAACACACATAGTGAGTGTTCCGTGAATACTAGTTGAGCAAATGACAGGAACTATATCTTCGATTGCAGGGCAGTTGGAGGAGGGGCATAAGGCATACAGTTGTAGGAATCTTTTAGGAATAGGATCTTAGTGGGACCACAAGCCATTTAGAAGACCCAGGTTTATTTATGAGCTAAGCCACATCATGTACCTACTTATAAAAGCTGAGAAGATTTCCTGGCAGTGGGACATTTGAAAGATGAGTATGATTTCAATAGACAGGGTCAACTTACCATATGAGAGACCTAAAATGCTGCAGGTGCTACATAAAGAGTGGTTCATTCCTCCTTCCTTCCAGCAGCAAACCAAATCCAACTAGTTTGTATTTCTGTTCTGCTGAATCATTTTTGCACAGAACCCAAGCAGAGTTGGAGTATAGACTCATGTGGAGACCCAAGTGATTGCAAGCACCTTACCTCTTCGCGTCCTTGTGACAGTCAGAAGCCCAGCACAACACCTACTTTATATGAACCCAAACATGAACAGTGGCTTAGCCCCCTAAGACCTTAATTCTACTGCAAAATAATAGTGTTGAAGTATATCATTTATGACTTCAAGCATTGATTTCCAAGTTACTGTAATAAAATACTCAGATTCCAACTAAGTTTCTAATGTTCTATTGAGTTGGTCTAGCTGTTGTTTTTTCTTTTGTTTTTTCAAACCTGAGCAGTCTCCCTGCAGAGGTTTAGGGATTTCTGCATCTCAGAATGAGGAAAGCAGCAAGTGAAAAAACTTCCCCAATGATCCTGAGGCATCATGAAGCACCACAGCAGGCTCTTTTAGAACCACCCTGCCACCCCAAACTTCCCAGACTTAAAGAAAGAAATGTCAGGGTACAAAATGTGGGGTCCACTGGGATCAAAAGGATCAGTATTTCTAGCAAAAATATATTGTTTATAAAAGGGAGATTTGAGATAACACTTGTAGAAAGAGCAAAACGTGAGCTGATCTCATGTAAGCAGTCTGTTGAGAGAAATGAAGACCTTTCTCCTCCCTACCTACTTTCTGTAAGAATGGAGAGATAGTTTGTTCTAACTTCAAAGTCAAATTAACATAAACTTTGAAGGCGGCACTTCTTAAGTCATTGCCATATATTCAAGGCCTTCAGTTTCTTTCAAGATCCAAATGAAATTCATAGGCATCCTAAGTAGTAAAAAAAAAAAAAAAAAAAAAAAGAATATTTAAAGAGCATCTTCATGCTGTTCACCTGATTTTATGTATCAGCCAGTATATTTACAGTTGCCTGATGCTGAAGCTTGAAATACATGTTTATACTATGAACATGACCTTTTAAAGCTATGATTAGCTGTGTGAAGCAACTTAAATGGCTCTCTTCAGAATCACTGCACCCAAATATATTAAACTTTACATTTTACATTTTATGCATTTGTCTTGTCCTGTCTGAATTTTTTCTTTTTTTCTGTACCTAAGGTCAGGTACAAACAAAGGGATGTCATTTGGGACCAGGATTAGGTGTAATTGTTAGGTGGTTTGCACAGCCCTAGGATAGTGCACTCCAGGGAGTGTGAGTGTGAGAAACAGTTTGGTGGCACTCTCCTTTTCTGTGGAATACAACTAATCCAGAACAGCCTGACCTTGGAGCGCAGAGGACTCAACTTGATGAAGAGCTTAGAGGGAGCTGAAGTGGCAGACAGAGACCAAATGAATCATATCAAGTGTGACCATTATGGGACTGAAGATGATTCCTAATTAATCTCTGATCCTCTGAGGTATCACATTCCCCAAATCTGTGTGTCCATAAGGGAACCAGTGAAAATATGAAAGTGGCAATTTACCTAATCCTTGAGCCCATGGCAGGCCATCTACTTGTGAAGGGCGTCATTTTCCATTCTACACAAAAACAATTGCCTGCCATTTTCTTAAGCAAAGTGAAATAATGAGGGCAAAATAAATTATTTAAAAGTCTCTTTGGATGACTGCTTTCCTGGCAGCACATTTATTCCTTTAGGAATTCAAGACATACTGAATCTGGAGAAATGTTGAAATCGTGTTGAAATCTGGAGAAAAGTTCAGAAGCTGACTTGCATTCATTGGCTCTGATTAATAAATGCTGTTTCTAGATTATAAGTATTAATGGCATAAAATTTCTTAATGCTTTCTATTGCTCTTCTGGTCACATGTGCCGTGAGTCTGAAAATGACACCTCTGTGTTGTCCTGTTCCCAGGCATGTCCAGACACCCACCAGCTCCTGACATCCCCACCTTCTACCCGCTGTCTCCGGGCGGTGTTGGCCAGATCACCCCACCTCTTGGCTGGTAAGATCCTCCCTGCAACCTTCAGCCAGACTTTGAACACATCTTCTCCCACTTTTCATTCACAGAAATTAGCTTTGTGAATGGGAACATTTGTGGAGTTGAGGAAATTTACAACAAGCAAGGTGCTAACTTTATTTCATTTCAATTTAAAAGATTAAAAAATGTGCAGACTTTGAAAGGAATTGAATCGGCTTGCTAATATGTGTAGAAAATGACTGTGTAGCAATTGCTTTGAAGCTTACAGTTTTATGGATTCAATTTGTGGCTTTGGGCATTTGCTATGCCTATATAAAGTTAGTTCTTAAGTGTGGCTTTCTAGTTTTTTTTTTTTTCCTTAATGAACAACTTGTCTTTTTGAAACATGAATTTAGACACCGAGTATCCACCTTTGGCAAGTGGCACTAAGTAGAGAGAAATTCAACAAAATAAAAACATCTTTTGAATGTTAATAAAATAAACATCCAATTTCAGTTCAGAGGAACAAGACCTAAATTGGGGGCTTTTATTTTGTTTAGATTCCAAATACTAATGCTCTTTCTTTTGTGGTATTTATTTCTTAAAACATTCTTACCGCTCCCTTCAGATGTTTTAGACGGTAAAGGTAAAGGGAAATGTATTGAGGGAAGAAAGGTGTGTGACATCGACTATCTTGATGACTTTCTCCTTAGCACACAGCTTTCCCTCCCGTCCCAAGCCCTCTCAGCCTTCCCTCTGCCCTCCGTGGGAACAGTGCTGCAGCTCCAGCAGAGGTTTCTCTCCTTTCTCCATCAGCCTGCTGTCACCACAACCATGTCCTATGGCCTCTGTCTCCCTGCCTGGACACGCTGACATTCTCTCTTCTTTACCAAGAGAGGGCCACCCTGCCAAGGAAGTGTCAGCTTACTTGCTCTCGCCCTTCCTCCCTATCTCTCTTTAGTATTGAACCTTTTGGTCAATAACTCCTTCTCATTGATGATACGTATGCTTCTAAGCCTAGATCAGCTGTTCCGAACTTAGCTACTTAGGGCAATAATCCTGTGCCAAGTGGCATCACTGGCAGCTGGAAATAAAGACTATGTAAATGAAAAGTGTGAGATTCAGGAAGAACACAGGGACAGATGGACTTCTTAGGGTGGAGCAAAATATTTTGATGATCTTTTATTTCTTGACTTTAACACAGGTATTTAAGGGGGAAACGGTGCAGTGTTTCTGGAATGTTTATTCACTTTTATTAAAATAAAAAATATGATGTCCTCCTTTATTCCCTTCTTTGGAATTCTCAAAGATTCTGATAAAAAAATCATTAAACTGCTTCTCTGAAGGAATTTTTTTATTTCACCATTCTCTGGGTCATGTTATATTCAATAAGCATTTATTAAGTTCCTACTTTGTTCCAAGCATTAACCGGGCTGGGAGAGGGGAAGTGATAAAAGGATAATTGACTGGCTGGTTTGCAGTTGAGGAAGGGAGACTTCTCTTCAGGGCAAAGGGTGCTTTGATTGGGTGGAGGGCAAGGAAGGGGAAGCATCCGAAGAAATCCAGTGGTTTGTAATCCTCCCACAAGACTCATTTGAGTACTCCCTCCTCCCCTCACCAAACGTTCCTGCTGGTTGGTAACTGGTTTTTTGTCATTGACGGGCTCCTTTCTTCGACCTCAGGCAAGGTCAGCCTGTATACCCGGTCTCGGGTGGATTCAGGCAGCCCTACCCGTCCTCACTGTCAGTCGACACTTCCATGTCCAGGTAGGTGGAGGTGGAGGCCAGTCGCTCTTCTCGTGCTTGCATCCTGTGCCCTGCTTGCCTCTGGGTCGCCGGGTAGGAGGGTGCGTGTCTGTGCTGTGTGCCTGGCTCCCACACTAGGAGTCTGGGCCACCCAAGGTAGGAGCCACAGGCCGTGCCCAGCAGGACCAGCCACACTGGGGAATACTGCCCGCTAAAGAGTTCATGGCCACCTGCCTGAGATGAGAAATGTCCCCAGAGTGGACATGAAAAGAGCCTATTTGATTCAAAATATGCTGGGGGTGGGGTAAGGGAGGAGGACAAAAACTAGTTTGGTCTAAGTTTTATGTGCTTCCTTTGAGGAGAATTGTATCCATTTAATATGGTGGTGTTCGAAAATGCCCTGATAACCCAAGAAGAGCCTTCCTGGACCAAGGCTGTTGGGACAGACAGGACAGTGCTCCCAGGCTGTCCAGCCATCCAGGGTGTGCGTCCTAGTGTGTGAATCAGGCCCTGAGTGGACATGTTAGTGCAAGCAAAGCTCTGTGAGATCTGCCGTGCCACACTTGAGGCTGCTCTGTGTAATGCTTTTGCTTCTGGAAAGGATGGCTTCTGTGCCCTGTGCTTGATGTACACACCTGTGGTGTATCATCTGTGTGTTCCACGTGGCTTTTTCAAGGGAGCTAGCATTATCATGCTGGAAGCCAAACTGTTAACTGGTTGTGAATCTGTCTGGCTTTTTTATTTTTAATTTTTTTTTTGTATGGGTACGAAATTTGCAGTTTCTTTGGTAAATTTCAGCTTTAAATATATGTGTGTGGGTGTTATATGTATACATATTTCATATATATATATGTATGTATACATGTATATATATTAATCAGTGAATTATAAATTTAGCTGGCTGGTCTGGGGGAATGGAGTTAATATTTCTCCCCCTAAAGTACATTTTTACATTTTTTAACACTATTTGATGACAGGGTTTTCTTACAGGCAAATAACCAGTATTGTATATTTTTGTAAAAAGTACAGATATTGGTCAAATATTTGCAATTTTATCATGCCTCCTTAATATTTAAAAAAATTATTTTTGGAATACCGCATATTCAAGCAGAGTTCCTTTTTTCTTTTCCAGATGAAGAATTAATTTTACCAGCTACAATGAAAGACCTGAGAACGTTGTTTTTATGGAATCTAATGTGTACTTTAAAACAGTTTGGAAAGTAAAAAAATCCTAAAACATCCAAATTTATTCAAAGTGCTTGCTCAGAGTACTTTATTTTATTTTTCTTGCATGGCAGTTTCCCTCCTTTGTGTTGGATGATGGTGATTACTTTAAGACTTTTTTTTTTAATGCCATGAAAATGTACTCAGGAAAAAGCCTTTACAGGTGTAGTTTTTACCGTGATACAGAACTGTGTCCTTACTTTTAATTAAATTCTTTCCCTTAATATTTTTCAGTTTTCAATAAAGTTACATCTCCCAAATATAATTTAATTTCTGCGTAGAAGATAATTTTGGATGATAGTAATGGAAACCTTATTAAATAGGGTACAGAAAAAAGTTTTCCTGTCCCTTTTTACAGTTGTGTCCTCTGATAGTAATATGAGAAACTCTTCATGTGATGATTTGCTTAAGAGTGTAGGCAGAGATTTTTTAAAAATGTGATGTATTTAGCTTAATTTAAATGGCATTTTAAAATTAAATCTTAATAAAGTGTCATATTTCTAGTAATTTCTGTTACTGAAATTCTTATTTGAAATGGGAAAAACAAACAGTAGCATGAATTGGACATAACTTTCGAATGTTCATATGTGAATACCCAGCCAGCATAGCTCCACATCATCATGTAGAACCACGAGAATGGGAAGTTATTCTCCATGTATGTATGATGTGTCAAAAATACATTCTATTGTCATGTATAACTAAAAAAGAACAAATAAAAAACAACAGAATGAAAAAAGAAAAATTCTTATTTGAAAATTGCTTTGCAAGAAAAACGATTTACTTTTTTCCTTATCATATGGCTTACTGCCCTCCCAAGAAAAATGTCACATTCTGCTATTAGTTTAAAAAAGTTACAGAAAATAGTAATATTTTCCATGTGAATTCAGGAAGAAAAAAATAATTATCAGCCCACTTTAATAATTATATTTAACATTCCTGTGCATAAAGATGTATTTCGCCATGTAGCCCGTTACAGTTGGTGGAATGTTGTAAAGTTCCATCTAGCTTGGCTACAGCAGCCAGCCATAACATACTCTTCTTCTTTTCCCTTCTTTTAGGTTTTCCCATCATATGATTCCTGGTCCTCCTGGTCCCCACACAACTGGCATCCCTCATCCAGCCATTGTAACGCCTCAGGTCAAACAGGAGCATCCCCACACTGACAGTGACCTAATGCACGTGTAAGTAGGCTTCTGGGCTCATCTGTGGATGAGCCTCTGAACACTCGCTCCCTCTCTGTTGCTGAGGCTTCCCCTCTGTCAGTTCCAACTTCAACATAGCCGTGAAGGCTCTGAAGCTGAGGATAGTAAGTAGCTTGATGCTTGCCGCTGTGATTTGATTGTGAAATAGGAAAGGAGCACAGGCCTTAGAAGATCATGGAGACTTCCCCAGAATGGAGGGACATTCAGAACACAGGCATGAAGAATCCTGAGCTGCTCAGCCACTGACCCACCAGTGAAGTAGAGGGAAGGGTTGAATGGACTTCCTTCTGGAAATACAGTGACCCTGACTGCAGACCCTGAGAGTATAGAATTCAAGGGGAAAGCTGCCAAGCCCAAGAGGCCCTACTGCTCCTCGGTTGTGCACATTGTCAGAGCAGGCCTGAATTACTTTCCCCTGGAGACGTTAGAAATCTCCATTCTGTGCTTCTGAATCTTCTTTTAGGGTCTGCAGAGGAGTGGGTGCTAGTGGCAGGCAGTGTGTGATATTCCACAAAGCCCCTTAGATGTATTCAAAGGCAACATGTATTTGTTTGGAAGTAGGGTCAGAAGCTTTGATTAGCTTCTCAAAGTGGTCCTTAGCCTACCCACAAAAGGAAAGATCACCTGTATGTGAGTTCAGCTTCTGAGGTGATAGAGGAATGGAGCCTCAGGTCCCTGAGTGGAGCACCTTCACAATTCCAAGTCCATTACCATTTGTGTTGTTCAATACATCTACTTCAGAAGGTCCTTATTCACAAAGAGTCACTAAGTGGATAAAGAGCTCCATAGTTTGGTCGTTTGCTACTCAGTGTTGCATCAAATGAGCCAAGGCTGTTGTTCCAAGTGGATGGTGCACTGGTGTTATAGGGGGTGGGGGTGGGGGTGGGGGATCCCCAGCCTGAGCTGAGCAGTGGGAACAGATGCTCTGCTTCTCTCCTCCTCTCTTGTCTTCCTTATTCCTTCTACCTTCTCCCTCTACTCACCACCACAACCACCTTTCAGGAAGCCTCAGCATGAACAGAGAAAGGAGCAGGAGCCCAAAAGACCTCACATTAAGAAGCCTCTGAATGCTTTTATGTTATACATGAAAGAAATGAGAGCGAATGTCGTAGCTGAGTGTACCTTAAAGGAAAGTGCAGCTATCAACCAGATCCTCGGCAGAAGGGTAAGTGGCAGGATGGTATATAAATGTATATGGTGACCATAGAATGGCTTCATAGAATCGGCCCCAATTTAGTTACATATCAGGTAGTCACAGAGTGTATTTGTATAATGAGCAGGCATTTTAGGAAGTAATAACATTTGGGAGGATTTAGTGATATAATGTGGTGTAAATAACTTAGTTGGTACTTGGCACGCAGGAAACTTCCTGGAACAGATAACTGTTTTTACTGTCATTCTTTAAACAAATATTTATTGAGTGTCTTTATGTGCCAGGCATGATGCTTGGCATTAAGTAACAGTTGCTGAATAAAATAGATATAGTCCTTGCCTTTCTGGAACATAAAGTTTTGTGACAAAGATATAGACATTGGACAAGTAGTCACTTAATAAGTCTGTAACTCAAATTGTGATAAATAGTGTATTATTGGCAAGATTCTGTGAGAAAGAACAACAGGCACTAGGGAAAGCCCCTCTGAGAAAATCGTATTTAATCTGAAACCTGAGAGATGAGTAGCAGTTAGTGGAAGTTGGGGGACTCCCCAGCTGGAGCAGCATGTGTGCCAAGTGGCAGGGGACAGGTAGCTCAAGCCCTTGGAGAGAGCAGCAGCGGGACCCATGGGAGACTAGGCCCACAGAATGGCCATTCCTTCCTAGACAGAAGCAGATCCATTCAACTGTGAGGATTTAAATGGGAGAATTTATGTGAACCTGTTTCTAGAAAGATTGTTCTCTGATTCTTAAAGTGCTATTGTGTCAGGTTTCCAGATTTCTTCTTTGCTTTTCATTCCTTTTTCCACCCAGGGTATGATATTTTTCTTAGCCCTCATTCTGTTATGAATGAGCCTGTAGGTTATAACTAGGCTAGATGCTCTTAACATCCTTTAGCCAACTACTAGCCAAAAGACTTGGCAGCCCTTCCAAGTAACCTTTTGCAGGATTGAAAATTTTTAACTGGGTGTCTGAAGAACAGTGGAACAAATTTGAATTTATCTAACTCAAATTACATTTCACTATATATACACTATAATTTTAGAAACACTTCATCTTAATTTGTTGATGCTCTTTATGTAGTGTGGTAGCTTCTTAATTTATGACTCCTATGAGTTTGTTTTCACAACTTTTCAAGAAATCGATGATTAATCGAACATCCAGGTCAGGAGAGTCTATCCACCCTTGTGAAGCAGAGAGGATCACATGTTAGCCTTTGTTGATGATAATTTTTACTGGATTTGTCCAAACTTAACACATTTGAGCGTTCATAAAAGAATGTTGAGGAGACTGGCAGTGCATGTGAACAGGAGGGAAGCAGGTTTCTTGCATTATCAATTCCCACTGAATAACCTTAAAATGCAACTATTTCCAATCTGCCAGGCTCCAGGGTTTCCTGCATAGGGCACAGTGGTAGATTATAGTTCCTTTGGTGTCCTGGGTGAATGTCCTATTTCCCTATGGAATCTTAAACACTAAAGACAATAATTGTGATGGTTTCCCAAGCCAGTTCATAGCAAATGAGCATTTCCCCATCATCTTTGAAGAACTCCGCCTTAAAAGCCTAAAGGCCGAGGACCATTTTCCCTCTTTTTTAAAAGAAGAAACCAGAGGAAAAGAAGGATTAACATTTGTATTTCAGCCCATGTAACGCTCAGATTTTTATTTTTTTCTTCTTTGAGTTAAAGGCCCCCTGTCCTTCCAGTAAGAATTATTTTCCTGCTCAAGAGAATAAGTAAGGATATAATCTGGAGGTATGCTTCCTATTTTTAATGCACATTTCCAAAAATTGCTGCTTTCTCAGCTCCCTGAACGATCCCCAGACCCAAACATTATATCTGAAGGGATGGTTGTCATTTGGACTTTCTCTGTCTTTGATTTGGACACCTGTTTCTATTTATAGGCCTCTGAGAGCTCTTTGATTAAGATCAGGTTTTCTATTCTTCCATGACTCCCCTCTGGCAGGGCCGTTCTTGCTATCTCTTTAAAGTCCTGGCTTTAAAATCATGAAGTTTCACACTGGGGTGATTGGAATTCTTAAAAGTGATCTGAAATCCATCCCAGAATATTTTATCTTTGGATTTTTTAAAATCCATCTTTACTATATCTCTAAGAAATGTTTATTCATATGAATTAACCAGAGTTCTCCTAATTCATGTTATAAATAAAAATTGGACAACTATTATTTTAAAATAAATTATTACTTCTCAGACCTTTCAAACTATTACAGAAAGTCCATTTGTCACACATTTATTATCAGAATTCTGTGTGACTTAAAATTAAATGAGTGTCTTTCCCCACAACTTGGTGAAACTTGGACAATTTTTTGATCTTTAAAAATACTTTAACTCTATATTTTTCAGTAAACAGAGTAAGAGAAAAAGAAGCATTTTTAGTCAATTGTGTTTCAGAAATTCTTGTAAGGAAAGACCATCTTTCTAATCTGTGCTGGACTTTATTTTCAATGCAGAACTTCAACACCATTTTTTTTTTTTTTTTATACTGAAGATAGAAGCCAGGGGTACTTAACCACTGACCCACATCCTAGCCCTTTTTTATATTTTATTTAGAGACAGGGTATCACTGAGTTGCTAAGTGCCTCTCTAAATTGCTGAGGCTGGCTTTGAACTTGCAATCCTTCAGCCTCAGCCTCCCGGCACTGAGATTCCAGGCATGTGCCACTGCACTTGGCTCAACAGCATTTTTTTTTTTTTTAATATTTATTTTTTAGGTGTAGATGGACACAACACAATGCCTTTATTTTTCGTGGTGCTGAGGATCAACAACATTTTATTTCCCACTTTTTGTCTGGTAAATTATCTTTTATTTGTGAGCAGGTTTTATGCAATAGAAATATCAGGGAGCTAAAAACAATTTAAAATGCAGACAGATAGGTTAGTTTGTGCCCTGCTGCTTTCTCCTATGTTTTATTCAGTTTTATTATTTGGGGTCTTTTGGTCAACCTGAATTTCTTGCTTTAACTGAAAAATAGCTGATTGTTTGGGTAGAAGACCCAACCTCAGTATGTATTTTGGGAGTTGATTTTTATTTACAATCCCAGGTTTCTTCAGTGAGTTATAAAGCTGCCATAAGTTATATAAAACTCTATTAATATATTGCAGTAATAAATGATGTTGGTATGTAGGGAAATAATACTCATCAAATGAATGAACCAATTTAAAATGGAAGACTTCTTGTCTTTTCCCCCCTTTTTGGTGACACTTTGCGTCTTATTGGATCACATTTAGTGAGAGCGCTAATGGTATAAATACCAATGATCAGTGTTTTCTCCAAAAAAATAAAATCAAAGATGATCTTTTTTATTGTGTCCAGTTTGGTCGTTGCTTCCTGTGAATCTGCAGCACTAGGTCAGCATCTCAGATTTAGAAAAGCTGTCAGCTGCCTTGGCTTCACTCCTGCCCCAGACATGCCTTCTGGGGCTGGATTGGTCGAATTTGTTTAGTCCACTGCTGCAAAAATCTGTGTTTCGTGGAACTTTCTCTTGCAGGATTGTTTTTTATTTTCTGCCACCTCCCCAAAGGTTTCTTTTTCTTCTTTTTTTTTTCTTTTTTTAACTGAAAGCTGATTACCTGATCTGCCTTCAGGCTCACACCAGATCCCACTCTGTCTTGCTTTTTAACTTTGCACTCTGCACTTCTAAAGCAATTAGAGAATAAATCATCCACTCTGTCCAACACAGAGGGCTGGCTCTTGAGGGGCTTTCGAACCAAGTGGACTCCTGGCGCTGCCGGTGGGCCCCACTGCCTCTGCTCTGGAGACAGGAGTGGGTGTGGCAGGAAGGCGCTCTCATGTGTTTTGTGAGATCAGCTTCTTGCTCTGTCATCAAATCAGGACAGCAGGTGTGTTTCTTTTTCTGAAGGAAAGCTTCTTAGTCATACTGTAAGGCTGAATCCAGGTTGTTGAGGACTTCGAAAAAGCCTCCTCCCGAAGAATTTTTTCTCTCCTCAACTTCTCTTTCCTTCCCCTAGCCCACCCATACCCTTCTTTTCTTCCCCCCGCCTTTTAAACCATTTTAAAAAAATAAGATCAGGGAGATTAAAATTAATAAGCACAATAGCTATGAATGGGAAGGAAGCAAATTGGAAGCTTCCCGTCTGAGAGCAGGGCAGAGCAGGCCGGCAGGCTCCCTGGTCAGCGAGGGTCGTGTGTGTGGGCAGGATTCAGGTCTCCTCTTACAGCCACCATTGCCTTTGTGGCTTCACCTCGCTGACAGTGGATGCCCCAGGGCCCAGCCACTTCTCTTCAGAAGGTTCTGCCTGGGGAAATAGGGAAAATGCTTTAATGGTGTTTGCTAGGGACCTGGGGCAAGCTGTGTGCAAATGTACGCAAAGCCCTATGCAGATGCCCACCCTTTGGAATCCCAAACGGTGCCTCGCCTACATAAATTTGTTGCTTATGACGTATAAGCATATCAGTCATGTTGAAAAAAAGATTAGAAGTTTGAAGGATTATCAGCAGCTTCATTCTCCATCTTAGAACCTGCAATCTCAATCAAATTATAGATGGCAAAATAAACAGATGAGGCCTCTTGCCTTCCATCAGAGGAAGCTAAAACCCACAGCCCAAAGCGTGCTGGGCAAGGCACAATGTTGTCAGTGTTCTCGGCGTAGACAGTGGGCGTGTGTGCGAGCCTGAGGAGACAGCGAGGAGATGGAGACAGGCTGACTTTTGATGTCTTGCCTGATACAGAGGATCATGTGACTCTGGTCCAGACTTTCCCTAGGACAGAGTGGGAGAGTCTGAAGAGAGGGTGTGTCTGAGGAGACATCTGGAAATTATCACATTTTGCTTAAATAAATGGTAGTTGGGCTTGGATACCAGAATATGCTACAAACGACGAATAAGGGGGAAGTCGGCTATTGAGGTTCACCAGTGAAAGTCCTTTTAATTTATATTGGTAAAGAGAAAGGGTGGGTGACAGAGATGACTGTACTTCGAACACTTTGATGAACTTTGATGTGTTTCATGTGATATTGGAGAACGGGATAGAAAAACCAAAGCTTGAGTTTCACTGCAGCCACCAGACTCCAAGTGGATCTGAGCGGCACTTGGTCTTCTGCCATTTAGAAATAAATAGAAGTTCAAGTGGTTAATATTAGCGCGTCTCAGAGTTTGAAACATGAAATATACTGTTGCTCTCTGGCTTATCTCTGTTCTTTCCTCCTTCCCCTTTTTGTTTCAGTGGCATGCCTTGTCCCGTGAAGAGCAGGCTAAATATTATGAATTAGCGCGGAAAGAAAGACAGCTACATATGCAGCTTTATCCCGGCTGGTCTGCAAGAGACAATTATGTAAGCCCCTCTCTCCGCCAGTGGCTGTGCTGGCGCTCATTCACTCATTCTGTCTTCTGCTTGAGAAGGAGTGTGTTTTAGGGTGTGTATAATGCTGATACTCTTTCTTATGTTGGAAGGTAATGAATTTTATAATGAAGATTGTATGACATATTGCATTGTGAAAGCTTTGAAGGATCATATTTTTTGCTATGGATGCTAGTGCCTTTTTTTAAAATAAAAATATAAACTTATCGTTAAAATGATAAAGATTAAAAAAAGAAAAGCCCATGATTTTTCCATGTAAAGCAAGATTAGAAATAACTACTTACATTATTCTCTAGTATATTTTCTTAGTTTTGATTTTTTACTTGGATATAAGTGTGTGGGGGTGTGTGTGTACATACATTTTGTGTCATGCTTCTCACTGTTATATATAAAAAGCATTTTTTATTTTATGGCATAGCATTTATGGATGTCAGTTTTCCATTGAATGAGTGTCTCAGTTTACATAATCATTTCTCCTGTTTTCAGACATTTAAATTGCTGCTTTTTTCCTTACAAATAATCCTACAGTGAACATGTCTATGCATAATAGGCTTTTTCCCTGCCGTATATAGGATTATTATTTTCTGTAGGATAGATTCATGGCAGTGTAAATGTTGAGTTAAAGGATTCCATTTTTTTCCCCTGGTGCTGGGATGGAACCCAGGCCTCACTCGTGCTAGGCAAGCACTCTACCACTGAGCTACGCCAAATTTTTTGTTTTGTTTGTTTGGTTTTGGTTTTTTAGCAATCTTTAAAATTTTGAGACAGGGTCCAAGTTGCCCAGACTTATCTTGAACTTTATTTTTTATATTTTGGTAGTGGTGATTGAACTTGGAGCACTTTACCACCGAGCTACATCCCCAGTCCTTTTTTATTTTTTATTTTGAGACAGGGTCTTGGCTACATTGTTGGGACTGGACTCAAACTTGCAATCTTCCTGTCTCAATTTCTAGGGCAATGTACCCAGCAAAGGAAATAAACATTTTAAAGTTCTTATACATATTGTCAGATTTCTTTTCAAAGGATTATATTATTTTATAATTCTTATAAGCATTTTATTTCAGATGACTGTTTTCCCATAGACAAATTAGGACTGTGTAAAAATTTGTTCTTACATATTAATGTACCCCCATGTAGGCTGGTGGCTTGGAAACAATAGAATGTATTGCTCACAGTTCTGGAGGCTGGAGAGTCTGAGACGAAGCTGGCATGTTTGGTGTCTGGGGAGGGCCACTCTAATAGTCTTGCTATAGATGTGCTGGGTGGAGGTGAAGGAATGCTCCAGGTCACTTTTATATGGGCACTAATTCCATTCTTGAGGTCTGTGCCCTAAACACCTGCAAAAGCTCCTCTTCCTTATCCTATCACTTTGGGGCTAGGATTGTGAGGTTTGGAGGGAACACAGACATTCAGTCTATAGCAAGTCGAATGTTCCATGTGAGGCTACTGTTGGGAATGCCAGCCAGGACAGTCTTACTGTAAGTGGAACTGTCCCTTCAGAAAAGAGCAGGGACATAGTTAATCAGTATATAATTTAACTGGGGGTCACTGCTGCAGAAGCTCCTGTGGGGCTTGATTCCCACAGAGAAGATGACAAGGATGTATATCTAAGGTCATACATCCCATAAGAGAGTCCAAAGCTTTTTGAAAAAGCATGTAAACTTATTTGTGGAAATGGATTGCATGAAGTCTCAGCTTCATTCAGTTTGCTTTCTATAATGTGCTCTGCAGAAAAAGTCACTTGACTGGGTAGGATTTGGAGCTTAAACATTGGATTCAACTTCCACACAGGAAACAAGAGTCCTACTGTTCTCTACTTATGAGCAATAGCGCGGTCAGCTCACTGAGTTGTTTGGGTTGTTTTAATAACCACCATATGCTGATCGTCAGGAATTCCTTCTGTTACTCGTTAATCCTTACAACAGTCCAGTGGCATAAATACCATTATTCCATTTTTCAGGTGAGGAAATGAGGGGTTGGAGAGGTTAAGTAATTTGTCCAAGGCCGTGTAGTAGGTGGCTAAGCTGTAATTTACACCCAGGTCTCCCTGACTTGAGAATCTGCACAGCTTCCCTCCTCCTGAGTGGATTAGCTCCATCTCTCAGTGCCTTCTTAAGAAGACTGCTTAGTTGAAGAATTTTTGTCCCTGAACTGGGCTTCTGTTCTCTGAGCAGTAATTACCGTCTCCCTGTGTAGAGCCTTTTCTATGCCCTTGAAGTGGGAAGATCAATCCTCAACCCTAAAGGGCTGCAAAAGTGTCGTCTTCTAATCCTGTCCTGGACATCTTCCGATGTGGTTTGCCTAGTGGGGGAGTGCTGGCCTTCCCCTGTGCCTGTCTGAGAGTTTGCCTTGCTGTGAATTTGTGTAGACTTGTATTGCTTGTTTAGTGTCTTTAAATTTTTGTTCTGATTCTTAAGTAATGAGTTTTAACATAAAAGAAGCACACATATTCTCTCCCTCTTCTTTTTCCCCATCTTGCTCTCTATTCTTTTCTCCCTGTACAGGGATAAAAAGAAAGTATTTTAAAGAAAGCTAATGTAATGTAATTTACCTTTAAAGCTTTTTTTTTTCCTATATAATTTTTAAAGGAAATTGTTTTACATATGAAGGGAAGTCTCAGCTTCTTTCACATGATTTTTATGGAATAAAAAAACCTATCAATTATTAGGGTCATCAGAATCAATCAAGTGATAATGCTTTAGCTAACAGTATTGTTTTTAAAATAACAATACAGAAACAGAATCTAAAAGATAAAATCAAAGCATTTAGAGCCAGAATGCTATCCTGATCCTCACTGATATCATATTAAACACATACCTCAATGACTTAATATTAAAATGCCCTATTTTGTGGGATCAGAGATTTCACAATTACAATTTGCTTTTATGGCTTTGGCTAATAAATGAGGTTTTCATGAATCAACAGTGCACAAATTTTCTTGGGTGAGAGTAGCCAAAGTTTATCTTATTAGAACTTAAAATTCAGTGCTCCAGGCTTCCCAGTACTGGATATCTTATGTAATAATACAAAATATTTTTGTGTTTATCACAAATGAATTTTGGTTTTTGTGTAAGTTGACATTAGTACATCTAAACAACTTAAGTTCTTTTTGTCTACAGTAAATGCAGGTTCTCTGAGATGTTACTTGGGCATTAGAGGCATAACCTCAGATGATTGCTCTCTACTGTGGCCATGTCGGGGCAGGGGCGGCCAGGGCAGAACCCACTGTAGTGCCTGTGAGGAGGTCATGATCATGAGCTCGGGGTGGTCAGGGAACCATTTCAGATGAAGAGTCACAGCTCTCTGCCAGAAAGGGAAAGAGAGAGGGTAGGGCAGAGACATTCCCTACAAGAGATGACACTTGGGATGCATGTCAAAGAGCAAATGGAAGCTGGAGAAGAAAGTGCAGAAGAAGGTTCCATATAGGAAACAAGCTTATAGCAATTTTTAAAATCTTAAGTAATTCCATTTAAAAAGATGAACCTCTCTCTCCCAGAACACCTTCAATAATATTAAGGACCACTCTGTTACTTTTGATAAGCCATTTTCTAGGGTCACTGATTGTGGCCTTAGTGCTCATGAGGATAGGTTTTAGTCAGCTTTCTAAAGGATTAAGACAGTGGCCAGGTGACTAGAAGAAAAACTATTTTGAGGTAAATAAATATATAGTATATATGCACTTTTATAGAGCCACACAATAGATTCAGTACAATTTTAGTTTTATTTTTTGTTATTAGTTAATATGATTATTATAGGAGACACAGGTAGAGACATTGAATACGATATGTGTTCCCTGGTAGTTAATTGAAAATAGCTAATACAAATTGGTTATTTTATGAGTTATATTTTGAAGGGAAAAGTAGTGGTGAAGAAAAACAGAAAACCACTGTAAAGAGGGGTATAATTTTTAGAAATTTGTCACTGAGTTGACTTTGGAATGTATTTAAAATTGTATACATATCTGTTATTGTGTCTGTCTTAAGATGCCAGGTCTTTGGTTACTGGAAGTAAGTCTTCAAAATTCTCCTGAGTCTTCTCAGGTTCTCTCTTCTACCCTTGACCTTGGTTATGCCCTGCCTTTGCCACAGGGCTGAGGGCCCTGAGTTCCAGGGGTCTTTCAGGTGTACAGTGCAGTTCACAGCCAGAATTATCCCGAGCACTGCCAGAAGTAGGTTCTGAGTGTGATGGTTAGCAGGAGCAAGAATGCTCAGGAAGCTGCCCTTCCTTGAACAGTATGCTGTGGCCACAGCCCTAGGACATCAGGGGGAGAGAGAGAGAGAGAGAGAGAGAGAGAGAGAGAGAGAGAGAGAGAGAGACACAAAGCAGAGATGAAGACGGACATACTGTAGACCACTCAGTGTCAGTGCTGATGGGGGTGAACTTGAAGCTGTAGGGAAGTCATTTACGCAGCACTGGCTCTCTCCATCTCGCACGTTCGGACTCTCTTCTGGACACCAGGAAAGACAATGAGTTGGCTCCACTCTTGGCCGCCTGCTCATACTTTCATATGCTGTTCATCCGTGTGTTCACAGTGTGCTATGACCTGACCACCTGCTTTCTTCTTCCAGGGTAAGAAGAAGAAGAGGAAGAGGGAGAAGCTGCAGGAGTCTGCATCAGGTAGGTGCCGCGACTCTCCCGTCGCCCTCACACTCCTGGCAGACCCTTGTGAAAGTGGCGGGCGTCTTCCTACATGCTGCTTTATTGTGACTGTTCTGTGTCATTCTTTAACTCTGCTTTTCTTCCTTAAATTCTTGAAATATTTAGAAAGGCCTTTCTTTTGAATGTGGCTACGTAAAGGTACATGTAAAAACTCCTTCCCAGCCCTGTCACCTGGAATCCTGTTTGGGAATTATGGTTGGTTTTCCTTTTTTTTTGTTTCCTTTTGCCTCTGTTGTCTATGTTCTTGCTTTAACACTTCCGCTTTATTTATATTTGCATAACTCTTTAAAAACATGACTTTTTATGATGATTATACTACCTTACATTCCCTTGAGAGTCTTTGCTGTGATTTGGGTTTTTAAGACTAGAAAACATGATGATAGGGTTTATCTTTCTTGTGCATTGATTCACGGCATCAATGAGATCCTATTTTAGTTCCCCTTTTTCTTCCATTTAAAATAAGGCCACTACTTGTACCGTACAAATAAAAATGGCTGGTATAAGAACCAAAAAAGTAAAGCAAACAAGTCCACATGATGTTGTAGCTACTACGTATTTGGAATGTACAGAACCCTCTTCCATAAAAATTTGTTAAAGACACAATTTTCTGCAGGTACAGGTCCAAGAATGACAGCTGCCTACATCTGAAACATGGTAAGAACGACTCTCTGGTCCTACTGCTGACGTTAGCTATAAAAAGAGGCATTTGCTTATGAATCTTCTTGCTCATACCAATTTCATTCAGCACTGCTCCTGAAAGAGGAAAACTCCACCAAAATCGAATTAATGCTTTTAAAAGTGTGATGGTTTTTATACCGGCTATATATTTGCAATATAGTGTGCTTTTGATCTTTTCTATCCTTTTTGTCCCATTTATTCTTTCTCCATCCCTTTCCCCCTCTTTATTCCCAATCATTTCTTACTGACTAGTGGCAAATCTGTATGTTTAAAAAAAAAAAAAAGAACAAACAGCAGCCAGGAGAGGTGGCACACACCTGAAATCCCAGCAGCTCAGTAGACTGAGGCAGGAGGATCGAAAGTTCAGGCTCAGCCTTGGCAACTTACCAAGACCCTGTCTTAAAATAAAAAGGGCTGGAGATGTAGCTCAGTGGTAGAGTGTTCCTGGGTTTAATTCAGTCCCCAGTACCAAGAAAATAAAAACTAAACAGTAAGCAAAATGCCACCCTACTCAGCAAGCCCAAGGCAGATCTGAGGAGCACCATACTAACCCTGCTCAAAGCTGTTTCCCAGTAGAGACTGTCAGTTGAAATGATATGCATATACTTGATTTATCTGTTGCTGGTGAGAAAGACTCATTTGCTTTATTTTTGTTGTTGTTGTTATTTAAAATTATGGCATGGAAGCACCCGTTTGATTAACTGTATTTCGGTTGTCAAGTGTGTTTCTTTATTAATAACCCTTATTTTCCTTCTTGTGTTTATACATAATATTCATTTCACTTCTTATTACTATAATTCTTTTATTTTTATCCACATGACCACTCACCCAGGGAATCTGGCTTTGCAAATTAAGGCTTGGTCTCTGTCACGCTTTGAACTTGCAGCACGTCTGTGTTTTCTCAGAGTAGCAGTTCCTTTCAAAGAAGTCACCTTTGATCCTAGCCTCTAGAAACCCATGTCCAGTCAGTTCTGGGGGTGCTTCCCTTCCAGGCCTTCCTTGGGTCTTGCCTCTCTGATTTGTCACTCCACAGCCCTTACCAGGTGCTCACACTTCACATTGGGACCATGGTCACAGCCTTTGGAGAATTGTCCTGACTCAGGAACTTTTTATCTGCCAGTTCATCCTCCATATTACTACCAGAGGTATTTCCTCAAACACAAACTGATCACTAACCCCTTAGAAACCATCAGTATTTCATGCCTGAGGGACACAGCACATGCCACTTAGCATGGCTGTATCACTACCCACCTCCATGGTCTTGCCTTTGGTCACTCTTCTTCTCTCTCCTCATTTCCAAAATAGCTCGTGAGACCTGTGCTCTGTCCATAGTTATTAGCAGTTCTCCAAATACATGGAAGGCATGAGCTGCCCCCTTGCTGCTCCCATACTTGGAAAGACCTGTTGCCTCTACCAAGGAATAGACAGACCTGTGCAGAGGACCCTAGGAGATCATCAGCCTGCAGAACATTTGGCTCTTGGCTAAACTAGGTAAAACTTGCCTAAGCTTTTAGAACTTAATCCTGTACTGACATTTCAAACAACTTCCTCATAGAAATCTCCCAACAGAGATTTCAGTACCAAATAGATCTGCATTTCAAATCATCTGTCTAAGCCATATACTTCAGCTTTTAAATCTTTTGTTTCCCTCATCTGTAAAATGGGAACAATGCTACCTCCCACCCTTGGTGGTTGATGGGTGATGAATGCCTCTGGTAGTAATATGTCTCTGCACACACTTGGAGCCCAACAGTTTCTTCCTCTTCCCTAGGGTCAGTGGCCCTCTCCTCTGAGAAACTTTCTTGATCTTCATTCTGGCTCCTCAGGTTTCTCAAATCCCATCACATTACCTTATCACAACTCTTCTAATCTACCCTCACTGTGCAAAACTCTCTTAACACCAAGTTAGCTGACTTTTCTCCCAGTGAAAATACCATCTCTTCACATGGGTGTCCATATAACACATCCAAAAAATAAAATCATCACAAATGATGACCACATTTAATTTAACTTACAGCTATTGTTTGGGGTCTTCTGCTGAGCTGGCTTACTTAGCTCAGGTTTTTAGGAGCACAGAGATGATCTTACCATAGCCCTCCCCAGGGGCTCTTCACCTCAAAAGGAGTCAATCTAGTAAAAAGCACACACTTTGTTTTTTTTTTTTATGTTGTCCTTTTCATTACTGACCTTTTAGTCCTTTCTGTGTCCTGCCTATACATGGAAGACCCTTAGCAGTGCCATGTGCCAAGGGCTGCTGCTTAGTGATATACTCCATGTTCTGTTTGCACCAGAATCTTTAAAGCCAACTATTTCTTTTACAAATCATGCAAAAATATACTTCAGTCCCTGAGAGTTTTATATTTGATTTGGTGTTCTTCATAAATAGCATCATTTATTTTGATGCAAAAGCTTCAGCTGAGTCTATCCTACATATCGTGTGTGTGTGTGTGTGTGTGTGTGTTACTAGTATTGAATCCAGTGGTACTCTACCACTGCGCTACACCCTCAGCCCTTTTTATTTTTTATTTTAGATAGTTTCTCTGAGTTTCCCAGCCTGGCTTCAAACTTGGATCCTCTTGCCTCAGCCTCTCTGGTAGCTGGTATTACAGGCGTGGCTCACTGCCCCTAGCTCACATACCTCTTCTTTTAATAACAAGTCATTGCTATGATTGTGCTTTTTTTTTTTTTTTTTTTTTTGGTCACTTACTTTTTCTAAAGGTTACGGTGTCCTCTCTATACAGAAATACAAAGTCCCACCCCCCAAAGTGTTCTCATCAAGCTAGCAGCCACTGGGTGAGGCTCCGGTTGTGGCCTCCCTTCGTCAGACCTCTAGCGTTCCTCTCCCTCTCTTTGCTGGGTCAGTTGTCAGTTATGCACCCTTGTCCCCACACCATCCTGTTGTAAAGAGCAGGACTGGCAGTCATTCCCTAAGAATGATGAATCAGAGAGGAGCTCAGATTTGCATTTAGAAAGATTTCAATAAATTGGAAATGACGATTGTTCCTCTGCCCTTTTCTTTGTTTTAGGAATTCAGAAGCTTTTCCATGTGTGTAGTGTCTGGCTTTTTTAGTCATCATTCAGCATTGGCTGAGTATCTAGTAAATTCCAGGTAGAATTGTAAGTCCTGGAAATGCAGCGCTGGATGAGTCAAAGAAGGGCCCTGCACCCCCTATGCTCACTGCTTTGCTGTGAGGATAGTGGATCAAAAATAAACAGGGAAATTTTAAGTGGCATAAGATTAAAAAAGGGAGTGACCTGGAGGTTTGCTTTATGTCGGTCAGGAAAAGCTCCTTTGAGGAGGGAATACTTGGAAATGACCATGGACAGTGATAGGGCATTCTCCTCTGGAACAGAGCAGGGCAAAAAACTGACAGACAAGGGTGAGACAGTGTCATGCCGTGGACTGTGTAGACTGGGAGCAAGGCCCTCAGCCATCAGCCTGGGCTTTCTTGGGCTTGAGCTCCAAGGTGAAACTTGGTGAGATCCCTGGCTGCTGCTCCCTCAGGTCCCATTGCCTGGTCTGCACTGCCTCCTGGTGCAATTAAGGATGCAGGTCTCCCTGTTGGCTATTTGTGGTCATCACTGTGAGTGGTTCTGTATAACCTTCCAGCATCGGTGGTCTTGGCAATGGCTCAGACGTGGTGTTGTTCACTCTCTGTACAGATCATCTGTGCCCTTTCCCCTCCAGAGTGGCTGCCTTGTGTCCTGGAGGCTCAGGAGTGTTAGTTTGGAGGTTTGGTTTTCACTGTGGAATATAGCTCCCTGTTTGCCAACCTACAGTACCTCTAGAGCTGACATCATCTTACAAACAAGCCAGGGACAGAAAAATGGTTGATCAGAATGAGTCCTGTGAGGAGTGAGGTGAATCTCACATTGCTGGTTTTCAGTTCTGAGGGGAAGATGGCAAATAGAGGTGAAGCTAAGGGAGTCCTGGGCCCAGCAGGGAGGAGACGGTGTTGAGAGGGTTTATCCTTCCATGTACACAGCGAAACTTAACCCTATCTTTGTGTCCTTGAAGAAAATTCCTATTAAATGAGAAAGATCTTTGAGCTTAGATCTCAGTATATATAGCTCAAATTCTTAAAAAAAAAAAAAAAAAAAAACCCTCTAAAAACTTGGGTCTCCATATCTTAAAGATATCTGGGTTTCATCTAATGCTCTCATGGTTCTGGGGGGAAATGCTGTTGCCGTTGCCTCATGCAGCCCGATGTGGAAGTTGGCCTGTCAAGCAGATCCTCAGACATCCACCTTTGTTCCTATCTCCTTGTGTTTCTACTTTGTTGCACTAGAAGAATAGACACTCAAGTGAAGTCAGGTTGAAACAAATTCCGGTTAGCCCAGCGTCAACTTCCGAGAGACCTGTAGGATAATGAGTTCCATAAACATCACCCCCTAGGTTGTAGGTGATTCCCCAAGCTGTGGGATCTTTTGAACAAGCCAGATTCATCCTTTCAGAATTTTGGATTAATCATGGGATGCTGGGAGCCCAGGACCTTAGGGAATGAGAGTGCACACACTCCACAGTGTCTATTGGAATCACAGAAACCAATCATTTGTTTATTAGCTCTGCGAACAACCAGTGAGGGCCTCCTGCAAGTAAGGACCTGCATTAGGGGTCTAGGGATGTAGCTCAGGGGTAAAGTGCTTGCTTAGCGTGTGCAAGGCTCTGGGTTTGATCTCCAGCACTACAGGCAATTAAAACAAAAACAAAAAACTGCACTAGGCAGGGGAGCATTGGGGAATACTGCTAAGTGAGTGAGATCCTACCCTGCTTGGGGGATCCTCCAGTTCTTAAGAGATACAGACATATGAATGGATCATTATAAAATAATATATTTCATCCTGTGAATGAGTTTTATACAGCACCTCATATAAAAATAAAGAGAATTAGTAGAATGTAAGTCAGTGAGATCAAGGAAGGCTTCCCAGAGCAGATGGCACTGGGCTATGAGGTTGGGGAGGGATTGTTGGGTTCA